TGGTGCACTTTTTCGCATCTGGACTGTCTTACCCTTTTTATTTCCATGTAGCTAACAAAACTTGGTCGCCTGATGACGGCTTTTCCCCTTGCTCCACGGCTTGCTAGAGCACTGTGCTCTGCTGCGCATCTCAATTGTCTAATTGAGGCCATAATTGTAATCAGCATGCTCTACGTCGCTCCTGTCTTCTACGTGCCGCAGGAGAGTAGGGAGGAGTTCAACGAGGTGGGCAAATTTGGATACTAGTTTACATTTTTTGACTCATGTCATCTCTAGGGTCGTTATATTTGGTTAGAAATTGGTTTGGGACGGCCGATATATCTAATGTCCCCAACTCTCCCTTTGGCACGATGGATTTACGCTTTTTTTCGCAGGCATGAGAAGAGAGGCTCACATTCCCAGCTAAACAAGCCCCTTTGAGGAGGGAGTCAGTTGGAAGTAATGTCAAAGGATGGATAATATTTATTTTTCATCACTGAAGGGTTGTCTAAATTTTAATAGCTTAAATTTCGTCTTAATTTCAGCCGTTATTTGGTTGAAGTTGAGATGCTGATGAATTGTCCAAAATGGGGATGGTTATGCACCATTTTTGATAAGGGGTTTCATCAGACTAATGAAATTAAGCGAATTTTAGTTATTCGAATAAGGCTTCGACCTTTATTTGGCCATAGGATGAGAGACGCATATACGGACAGTAAGAGTATGCTGAAACCTCCATACAAACCCGTAGTCAGTAGGGTGGCGATGGACTGTATCTGGGTGGGTTAGATCATCATTTAAACGACTATCGTTCTACTACGTGTGTTCCTCCTCTTGAGCACACTACTTGCCTTTGTTATTCAGGGTAGCAAGATGGAATTATCAAACAACAATGGAGATTGTATGGGAACATGTAACCATTTTGTAGCGTGCAGTTTCGAAGCGTCTGGAGGGACAAAACTGCGTTCTGCATCTAGTGCATTGTACGCTTTGTTATTGTTCCAGAGAGCAGTTGTCCAAACGCTATGGCATTTTGCCTTATCGCCCTCTTTTCACTTCAAAGCAAGTAAAATTGCCTAACTGGACTATTCAGGGTATGTGGTGAGTTGTCAATGCTAAATTCTTGAAAGTGATTAAAGGCAGAACGTGGAGGAGAGATTCACTCGTATTTGGTAACTGCTAATCCAAAAAAGGAGTAGGTGGAAAATGTTTGACAATGATTTCTGTTAAAGCTAAAAAATGATTTATCCTTAACTTTTAGATCAGCACCCGATTTCGGCACCTTGACGGTGATCTTGCCAGTCTAGTTCTTGTATACAGAGCCTATGTTAAGGCCGCAGAGACGTCGAACAACATTGATGGTGGACCTACAGTAGCAATAGCAGCCTCCACAAGGCTTGCCAGACGGAATCGATGGTGTCGCGAGAACTTTATAAACCAAGCACGTATGCGTACCGCAGTGAAGGTCCGAATCCAGCTCCGCGACCTGGTTAAATCTTCGGGACTGGGACGTCTTCACTCCTGTGGTTCAGATGACTTTTCTCCCCTCACAAAGGCTTTCTTTGAGGTGGCTTTTCGGGATCAGGTTAGTGAACCGTCTATCTAGCTCTATAATTATGGTAGGAATCATGAAGAATTCTGCTTAACTTTAAAAATTAATAAGCCGCTGCAGCAATATCCCAGGTGGAGTGTCAGTAACAGAAGTCTCTGGCAAATAAAGTGCATTTTGGGTGTTGATTTCAGCAAATTTGCTACCAGGATCTAAGGAGGTTGAAACAACGCAGTCTGGAGGCTTCACCTACAATACGTGGGTTGTATTGATCTAAGATAGCTATTGAGCTTTGCGGATCACACTTGGATCATGTTGATAAGCTTCGTGGAAAATCATGAACGTTCGTTTGAGAGGTTTCTTTGCATCATTTCAGGTTGCCACACTCGCCACAAACCGCACCGACAGTTCAACCAATCGTGTACGGGAGAGCTTTCCTTATTACAAGCGCCTAGAGGATACGGATCCTTCATCTCCTTTGCTTTGTATCCATCCAGATTCAAGCATATATCCCTTAGCAATTGTCGCACGATGTCCGCCTCCAGCGGTGCTTTTCCTTGAGGCTGTGGACTCTAGTTCTGTGCCCTTCAGTGACACTCACCAACGAGTTATGATGCGACACGTCTGCAGGATACCCTCGTCATGGCTTGGGGACGAAAATATGGAGGCAGTGGAAGCAATAAAGGCAGATGTCGAAGAGTCCAGATTGTCAGCATCGACGCAAGAGTCGGATGAGATCGCTGCTACTAGCAACGTGATTAGTCTTTCAGGTGATGCAATCCAACGAAGGCAGTTGAAGCGCCGGATGAGGAATAGGAGGAAGAAGGTAGCAAGAGCAAAGCGAAGAAGATTGAATGGTGTAAAACAAGAGGAAGATTTGGGCTAATTTTTTTCGTATTGAATGACTTGGATGTATTTATGCTACCCATTATCAGGTATATATGAAATTTTAAGACAAGTGATGTGTTTAGATTGTCAGTGAGTAGTGTGGTCATGTCTCGAAGGCGAGGCGGGTTTCAGCGTGTTGCCGTTAAATGGTATTTAATAATGTCGGAGGGGATGAGGCTTTGTCATCTGACATATCCGAGTTTGGGGACAAGACTTCCAGTTCGGCCATAGTCTCACCGACGCCATCAGTCTGAACGCAAGATTCCGGCCATGATTAGCGTAATCTGTTACCAGCCGAGAAGGCTTGGGCATTACACCGAACCTGGTGAATTCGTTTGTTTTGTTCTGTTCGTAGTGAGTTATAACTTGCACAGTGGTACCTTAGCGAAAGGCAGTGGGTTGTAAAATTTGGGCGTACCCAAATACGCATTCAACTTAAATTAAGCTGATCGTGATCAATAAACACAAACTTTTTTCATCGAAAACATAATTTTGGATGCAATGACTGTTGCAGTAGGCTAGCTGCCTTAAATATCAGGGCCTCCTTTTTACTACATCAAAAATGCGTTTGATATTAACTAGCGGGAGTTTTGTTCACTCGTGTTTGTATCCTTGTCTCGTAAGATGTCACACCCCGTAAGTTGGGTAGATGGAGTAGTTCTTCATTTGAAAGAACATGTCGTTAATGTTGAGAATGCTTGGTCTGAAATTGGTTATTGTCCGTCGAAGCACATCGAATTACAAGAGTCTCTGATGAATAATGTGACCAAGATTCTAACGGACGAGCTATCTTCCGCTGAAAGTGAGAAGGCCGAAATACTGTGCAAAATAGACCAAATGCGGGTAATTTTTGATTTCCAATATTTGATTAACAGGTCGAAATCGCTGAGATTGAAAAAGAGCTTCAGATTCCTCGTAAGCAAATCTCTTCGCAGTCGTTGCTATCGATTCTGGACGAGTTAACTGGCTATCGTTCAGAACTTGACAGGAAGATAGCTGAATTAAATGCAGAGTTCAAGAAACTAAAATCAAATGAGGAAAATTTGTGTCAGCTGTTGCATGTTGCCACGTTAAAGGGGTTTCCTTTGATCCCATCGTATAATGACAAATTGCGAGTTCAGCATCACATTGATGAACTCCAAGATGTAAAAGTTTGTACTATCACTCTTGTTTTAGTCTCTTAGCGACATCGTGTTGATAAACTTGCAAAGATGAGACAGCGTATCCTTTCTTGCATCGATTATCTGAAATCGGATTGTAATCTGACGTTACCAGAGCCTATCAGTGGAATAGTAACCATGAATGTAGAACCCCTGGATCTTTCGGAGGCATTCCTGGAAGAAATGGACAGAACTCAGGATCTGTACATGGACTTATTTCACAAATTCAAATCAGAAGAAGACGAACTCTTCGAGAATATTGATTCCCTTCGCAAACGCTTGGGTTTGCCTCCATTCACCCTTCCCAAAGAACATTCCAAATGTCCATCACGACGCATAAACTATGTATGTGCACTTTTTTCAACTGAGACTGCTTTTATGTGTTTGCCAAAATCATGTCCCTACTGTTGAAATCGATTTAATTGTCTTGTTTGAAATGTGGTTCATTTCTTTATAATCACGAGGGCGTGACCGCCGCCTTTTTTTTTTCAAGGGGTCTGAAGAGCTATCCCGCCTTCGTGAACTTAGGCTGGCTAACTTGCGCCATTTGATGGAAGCCTCTGTGCTTGAACTGGAAGGTATCTGGGCGGATGCTTTGGTCAGTACAGATTATCGACAGAACTTTCGTGATTCCATGCCTATGGATTGCACTGAGGAGAATCTCTCTCGGCTAGAGGAAGAAGTGCACAGGTGGAGGCGCTTCAAGTCCTCTCATCAAGACTTTTACGACGCCCTGATGGTTTGGCTAGACACCTTGAGGCAGATAAAAGCCATCGAAGTTGGTTTTTCTTGATTAAAGATCTCAACGTTTTCAAATCATCTACGATTTTTTTAACCATTCAAGTTGAAGCGGCAAGACCCGACGGTGCTGAAGAACCGAGGTGGAATTCTTCTGAAATTAGACAAAGAGGACCGTAAACTGCGAACGCGCGATTTACCCAATCAGACAGCCCACTTAGAATCTATAATTGCCAACGAATGCGTAGGCTCTGATATTGATCAGTTCTCGCTTGTTTGCTTTGAAGGACAACCGTTGACCGGACAGAAGAACTCACTCACCCTAATAATCGATAAGAAGTAACTCTGGGCTTTTCTCCTCCCCTTACTTCTGGCACTTTTTAGTCTAGAGCCTTCAGGAAACGTGGCCACCGGTCCCACATCGACGGCAAGCAAAACCACAAAGAGCGGCTTCGTCTATGCGGTAAATAAACGTCCAGCCGTGGTTAGGGCGGGTTCGCCCGCTCCGTCGGCGTTATCATCGCGCCCGT